AATCTTTTTTCTTCATTGTCGTCGCGTAACTGAATGAAAAGGAGCTTAACTTTCTAAAAGGGAGCGCAGGGTGCTTCATCACTTTTAATAATTGTGAATCTGGGGGGGGGGGNGCAGTCGTATGTTTTCAATGACATTCTCATCTAGAACGGAGTATAAAAAAAGTGTCGCTTCATTTTTGAGTTTAAGTACATATTGGGGGGGGGGGGTATTTTGACTTGGCTCAATTCATCTGAAGGTCTTTGCACTGAATGTCATTTCCTTCTACTGCTTCTGTCTCATTCAGTGACTGCCTATTTTCCCACTCTCTATATAGTTCATCGTGATATCAAGCCGAACAATATATTTATTCGTGAGTCACCCACTGAACCCACCCGTCTTGTTTTGGGAGATTTTGGTCTCTCCAAAAGTCTGCAAAATAATTTCTTCATAAATTCCCTGTCCTACGATGCCGACTCTTCTAGCTCAACTTCCAGCTCACCAAGAATTCGGGGTACGTTTGGAAGTCTCGGTTGGATGGCTCCAGAAATGTGCTCTCCCACGGGTGGAACCTTGGTGAGTCTAGTTGCTAATTAAATGTGTCCATGTAAGAGAGCGAGGTAAGTAGTGAAATTAGACGATTTGGAGGTAATCATGGAAGTGGGTGTTGTAATCAAGAGGCCAAATTGCAACACGTTAAATGGAAGTGACGTTTTTTTTGGTTCTTAATACGTCTGCTGAACAACCAGTAAAATAGAGCCGTTCCTCTGGAAACTAGGATAGTGGTTGGCAAATGAAATGGATATGCACATTTGATGGAAAGCCGCAAAAATTCCTTGAATCAGATTGAGAGGCAACTTTATCGATTCTTTTTATCGGAGTAATGAGTATGCATTTTGCCTTCTAGACCACGTCCGTGGATGTTTTCGCACTAGGCTTGGTCGCCTACTTTATTTTCACTCACGGTCGTCACCCCTTCTACTCCCCACCTCCGAGTTCTTCGCAACCATCGTCTTCTCTTTCAAATCCCCTTTGGCATATTAATGACACTTCATCTATTGCTGGTAGTAATAACTCGACTTCCTCATCGCTAAATCCTATTGGTCCTGATGGTGATCTACCTTCTCAAAACACGAAGTCTTCAAAGATTCGGGAGGGATCTTTCCATGATGCCTACTTCTCTGTGGATAGTGTTCATGCAATGCAGGTTGCCATCAATAGGAGGGAGGAACCACTGTTGAGCGAAGTTTTCGTGTCTACCAAAAAATTGCCAACGTCTACTGACGTCGGGGGAGATAGTGAACAGAACTTGGACGAGATGTATAGTAAGTGCACACGTTTGTTCTCAATAGCTAGAGCCAGAAAAAAATTGTGCAAAATAATGGACACATGCTTGGAGTTGTTTTGTGTGCTGCTAGTGATGAATCTCCTTATTATATCAAAATGTATCGTTCCGGATGACCAAACCTCCAACACTTGGAAGGTATGAAAGCGGCGGCAAAGTCGTATTTGACTGATACGAAAAGAGACTGATTTGTGGCTTGAGGTGTGGGTGGGTGGGGGGGNGGGGGGGGGGGGGGGGGGGGGGGGGGGTAGGTTACATTTTGCTTTAAGCTTTTTTTCCCACTCTTACAGCCTTAGCCTAGTTGTCATTTTTGCCCTAATTTGTTATTTTACACTGTGTTGTGATTGGTTGGTGAAGAAGAAATAGAGGGTGTGGAGTTTGTGCAAAGGGGCAAGCTGCAATTGGTCTATCAGTCTATTAATTAATTCGTGGGTGGTGATTGAGTTGTCGGTAAAGTTAACTCAGTCTTTTTGAAACGCTCTATCCCGCTCGAAAATTAACCCAACGGTGCAGATGCATGTTTCCTTACTCATTACTTTTCCTATAGTATTCAATACCTTGGGGTGTTTAATTAAATTTGTGAGTATTATTATTAGTCCATCGCAGCGGAGTTTCCTGGCCACCCTCTTGATCTGGATCTTATTGTATCGCCCACTTCAGTAATATCAATATTGAAAATCCCCCCCCCCCCCCCCCTCCTGTCTAGCTCATGTCATTATGTCAAGTGTAACGTGCTGAAGGCCCAGTAGACACCAGATTGGCTGAAGGGGGGGAATCAATCATGCTCAACTCTCTCTATGTTCCTTTCACTTAAACCTCGACTTCAGACATTTGTTCTCAAGGTCGCGGGTATCGCATTCGTCTCCATTCTCGTGGTTGCTTCAAGTGGGCATTCACCTGGTAATGGAAGGAAAGGTGTATTCTAATTTGCTGTTTTGAAAGGGTGCCTCGCTTCTAGTGTGTGATTCCAATCAAGGCAAAGATAAATTCGAGGAGTGGACGTTGGTATTCACTTTTTTGGGGTCCATTAGACTGTTCACCTCACACTTTATCTCTCACTCTCTTGATCATTGAATATCCTATTTGTTTGAAGATAGCATTAAAGAGCCTTGGAATTCAACTTTCTTGCATAAAATTCTTGTGGATAAGAAATTGATCATTTGACCGCTTCTTGCTTTAAATTGGTCGATAATTTCAAGTTGAAGGTCACTCTTTGAACGTTGGGCTAAAACGAGAAAGACATGCGTTGCGTTGAGTTAGCTTCTCATTTTTAGCCCAATTTTGTTATGTTTTCAGGTTGTTTGGCGAAGCAGTTCGTCTTCGAGGCCCTTGATTTCGACGCCTCCACGAGGTGTTCCATCGACGTTCTGTTACGCTCGCCCCTCTTTTGGCCCCCTACCACCATCCTCTCCTTTTATTCGGTGAGCTTCATTTAATGTATCTTATTGGGGGGGGGGGGTTTGATATTTTCCTTCAAAATACACTTACAATTATCTCTGAGTACTGTTCTACCAAGTAAAATCTACTGGCATCTAGTTGCTTTAAACGAAAATGCGCTAATGACTTGGAATCCATACTACCGCTAAAAATTTCTCTCTCTCTCGATGAATTCTGGCAGGACTTCATCTGAAGTTTATTTGGACAAAGGGTGAAGTCAAGGGGATTTCCCAACACCGTGGTTCTGTGAGAGAGAGACAATCCTAGAGATGTTCC